GACATAGACCGCTGAGGAGCAGGGTTATGGCGGTAGTTCATGTCAGGCGGAACTGACTGAGAAACATCTCGAGAAATGATGGGGATGGAGGTCATGGTGACCGGAACATCCATCTCGGAGAAAGGGGTACCGAAGCGGTACACACCAACCGGGGTCGCTTCTTCGGAAGAAGCAGAGTGATCGCTCATCTCACGATACGAAGGGATTACCTGCGACTGACGACGAGCAGACTGCTGTGCACGAGCTGATACAGGTCCAGCTACAGCGCCACCCTCATTAGGGATGGCCAGCTTAGGAAGAGCACGCAACCTCGCATGGGGGCTTTGGGCTTGCTGTTGAGGGTACAGCTCGAACGGTGGTGTCGGAGGCACCTCGCTTGAGCCAACCGCATGGTGGTTCTGGAAGTCAAGGAACTGACGAACGTTGTCTTGGGGGTCCCGCGATATGACATTGCGCAGGGTGGCTTCCTGGAGATACTGGAGGGTTGGTTGATCTCCAGGTCCCATAACGTCTGATGATGCCACCACCGACGGGATGGCGTCCGAGACAGGACGAAAGGGGTCGATAGCCTCAGCCGTCTGCGGGTTTCCGGGATTACCCGCAACCATAATGAAACCGCCTTCATCAATGTTGACAAATGGGTGGTCCTTCTTGAACGCCTCAATCATCTTCTGGTTCCGCTTCCACTTGGCGCAGTTCTCGCCCTTGGAGCAACTGTGAGGCTTGGGCATGAGCTGCTCAATGCCAACAATGGAGACTGACTCAAGAGGAGAGATCACGTCATTGATCTTTGGCCTCACTTTGCTCGCCTTCCTCTTGGGCTTGTTTACGCTTTCGTTCCTCCGCAGCTCTCTCTCCACCTTGCGGTCCGGCTCATCCTCAATCGGGGTTTCGGGCTGGGGTTCCGGCTTCTGGATGTTCCTCATGGAGTGGATTTCGTTCCAAACTGTTGTCCGCATGCCAAAGGATGTGATTCCAAGCTCTTTCAGATCCTCAAACTTTAGTGTGATCAAGATGGATCCTGTGATATCGTTCTCCACAAATCTTTCGCAGGTAGTAAGCTCAACGCCGGCGTTGAACATCCATTGGGCAACCATCTCAGGAGTCCATTCAGGAAGGGTTCGTGTGTCGAGTTCGACATCGGTGAATCGGAAGGGCCCGGAGTCGCGCTTGCTCCTAGATGGAAGGGTCGTAAGATGGACGGTATGTTGCAGAAAGTGGTCATGTTCTTGGGCTTTCCGTTCCGTAACTGGCGATAGAGTCAAGGCGTTTTGATATTCGATGGAATGCAGTGACACGGAGCTGCGAAAAAGATGAGGCCCTCTGGGGCCTTCCACTTGCTTCATCTCCTCATATGGGAACGGGAACCCTCCTCTTTGGGGCACTGATCTTGGTGTTTGGACCTCATCATATGAAGACATGGTTGTGAAGCTTGGTTGACCGCCCGACTTTGACTTTTGCCTTTGTTAGCGGCCCGTATCACGGACTTGGAGATACTAGGTGCGAGCGACTTACTGAACCAATGCTGTTGCGAGGCGAGACTTCGTCATCATGAGCCAGATCCTCCATATCGCTGTAGATATCGTCCTCCTCCATTTCCCAGTCGGACTCCATGAATTCGGTGTATACTGAGTTTGGCCTATCCTTGACATTGTTGGTGGAGAAGAAGCTCTCAACCCGAGAGCCGGTCTTTTGGCGCATTTCGTTGTGGCGGTCATGCTCCCGCAAATGGTGGTGTAGGTTGTCCTGCAGCTTATGGTGAGCACTCGGCATCGCTGATTTCAAGGACATGTTGATATTGCTTACCATGTTGGCAGTCATGGTGGTTGAGATGTCTCCTATGGGTCTCGGGGTGACACAGGCGAGGGGTATGTATCAATGGCGGCCTGAAGCCACTTTTTCCGTTGAGTTTTTGCCGCTGCCGGCAGTGCCGATCTTTGTATCCTCGATATCGCTACTCTGCGCTGAAGGATGCGCTGAACCGGGGAGATTTAAGATGGATTGAACATGTGACTTTTTGTGGTATAACCCGCGTGGTCACAGTGAAAGAAGCCGAACCAGGAGGAAGGTCGACTGTGAGACGTTGACGGACAGCGGCAGAGAGTTATGTAGGGCGAATCGATGGTCAACCCACGATGTCGGCAAGCGCTTCAAGCTGTGGAGGAGGGTAACGAGGTAACCTCAGCGGTGCGGTGCAGGTATAGTACCTATGTAAGCCACGGGCCAGAAGACACTGGTCTCCAATCGATGTCTGGGCGTAAAGAAAAGGCGAACTGGGGGGTGCCCCTGTTGGGATAGGTGAAAAGCGAGACGGGATGGGATGTGATATGGGATGGATTGCAGCAACAGAACCAGATCGGTTCATGGATGGATTTGATGTTGAGAACAGGGCCAGTCCAGTGACAGTGGCAGCAGTCACCGGTGACAGGCACAGTGCAGCAGGTATACTACCGTCCAGAGTTTGAATCTTTTCCGGACCGTAGCACAGCAAGGAAGAACAGAGAGGAGAGAAAGAGAAAGAGAAAGAAAAGACTCGTCTCTCGGTCTCACTCTCGCCGTTGCTCGGCGAGAAGGGTGTGGTCTCCCGCTACGGGGTATAGCCCCCCCCAGGCCATAAGCCTGATGGACATGGTTCAAGGGTATAAGGTACCGTCAGTAGCGCATGTCGAGCCCGGATGGTGTCCTCCATGGCCTGTCCTCCATCATGGCATGTCCTCCATTCACGGCCTCGATGGTGTGCATTCGGATGCCTGTCCAGTGATGCAGAGTGGCTTTTGGGCAGGACGAGCTCTGAGGATAAAATTAGCAGGGTCTAGTGTGGTATAGGTGTGAAATGCGTGTCAAGCCAGCATGGAGCACGCCAGAAGGGTGTCGACGGGCGGTCGGCGGGCAGTGGACGGGGTGCCATGAGGTGCTGGAGATGGGATGTGGACGTGGTGGTTGGCCTGGGCTTCACCTTGTTGGTTGGTTCAGTTGTTTCTCTCGTGAAAAGGCGGAATAGCAAAGTGGAAGGTCCCGTCGAGTTGTGCGAAGGAAGTGGAACTGCAGAGTCACGAAGAGTGACAAGACTTGGAAAGCGGGGCAACCGCGACGGTCTAACACGCGATTGGCTCAAAATTCTGTCGTGCAAGCACAGTAAAAGGGCACTTCTGGCTGCTGATTGGTCCTTGGGGGCGAAAATGCCCAGAATAGTCAATGCTAAGCGCCGAATGTGCCCTTTTGCGCTATTCCTTTTCAGACAGGTCTCCTGTCTTTTTTGTCTTCAGAATCCTCGGAACCCTCAGAATCGATACTTGTTCTTTTCAACATACGAAGAACCCTGAGCCAACCCTGGACCTAACCCTGGGCGCAAGTGGGCCGTGCCGATCTGCTGTCTGGTCCACCAGCCCACCTTCAACGTCCTGTCTCCGCCATCCACTCATCACCTCGATTTCAATGTCTCCGCAGCTCCAGAAGCGGAGTTCGACTAGACTTTCAGTGCCCCGTTTCTCTCCGAGTCGCCCTGGTTTTGTTTTTCAACTGCCAGGCATTCTGTCCCGTCTACAAGGGAACTAACTGACTGTCCAAAACAGCAAACCTTCTCAATCCTCCCGGCAGCTATGCGCATGACAATAGTTGCAACTATTTACTGCGCAAGTCTCGTATGAATGTTCCTGCAGCATGTGTCCTGTACCTGTGTGCTCAGTTACTGTGCTATGCTGCGAGTGCGGTTGGTAATGATAACGCGCCCGCATCGTCTTGACGTCCACGAATCGAGAGGGGCCGGGTTCATCAGTTCATCAGTTCATCAGTTCATGGCATTCCGTTCAATGCCCAATCGCAGTCAAAAGCCGCCTTCAAAGTTGACGATGGCGGGACGGACTTCTCTTTGCCGAACACGACGAGGGTTTCCAAATGATACATCTCTTATCTTCCACATAAGGCAAGGTACCGTCATATTCCTCTCGAATTGCCAACTCTGATAGGGCTTATCAGGCCCGTGGGGTTTGAAGTGGACGAGGACGCGATCAAAGTGTGCTCCCGTTGATACCTTGTGGGGTTTTGGTTTTGGGTTTGATTTGATTTCATCTTCTCTCCTCTCTCGCATCGCATTTCCCTTTCCTCGCGGATCGATTGGCGACATCACTCCGATTCGGGCCTGTGTGAAATTGCCCTTTCGCGATAACGGTGGACACTTTGTTGAACACTCTTTGACGGTTAGGTTATTAGGCACAGCGATCAGCAATCCTGAAGCAGCGGCCCTCCCGTGCGTGCCGTTGCTCCATCGGTGTCCATATCCTTCACTAACAGAAAAATTGCAGATTGGCCATCATGGGACGGACCGGCCCCCGGGCTGAAGGTGATGAGGGGATCTCCATCTCCAGAGTCAGAATGTCAGATCCCTCGGTCATTGCGCTTCAAGGATTTTCTGGCCATCAGCTAGCCGGCCTGGTCCCCTGTCGAACACCGTCTCATCGCTGACAGTGCAATTCCGGGTAAGAGATCCTCTTCAGCAAACCAGGGCCAGGGCAGTGTGGGGACGGCGCACTTCAGCTACTCCACAGAAACGGTTCGCCTGCCTTTTCCCTCGTCGCCGGCAAGCATCAGCTCACAGACGGCGCTTGTCCCCATCAGGACAATTTGCCCCGATACTCTGGCATGCTCTGGCCTGTTCCTGCATTCAACGCTTTTCGCTCTCACCCAATGGCCTGGTGAAGCAACCCAAGAAGGATGACACGCAGGGCATAGAGCAAAGAACACATGACATGTGCAAGAGTGGACAAACCAAACTCGACAATTGAAACGAGAAACCCGAGTTTTAGATTCCCGTTGACTGACAGCGAACAGCTTGACCAGATTGGTAATAACATCGGCTCACGGCCCAAGACCTCGAAAAGTCAAAAACAGCAAGACTCAACAACGATCTCGTTCGGGACCGGCCATGTTCTCCATGTTCCACCGAGGTGGCGACAGGCATGTTGCGGTGTGCTATAATCCCGTCGCCTGCGTGAAAAAGAGTCATGCCTCAACGCGATCCCAACTCTCCTCATGCCATTGCCCGTCGCCAAGCGTGTCGCAACCCGATAGACATCTCGTGGAAGCCCAAGGCCGCAAAGCCGCTACCCATCCCCGCTGAATCCAGGGCGATAGACAAGGCGAAAGTCATGTGCTTCGGTTTGCGGCTTCTCAGATCCTGCTTTGTGCTTAACACCAAAGGTCAGGGAAGAGGAGGTCCGATATCGACGCGAGGTGGTAAAGCTTGCATGCCGGCATATCATAGGCGGTAGGTTCACCGAGCCTCAAGGTCAGCCGATCCGAAGGGCATCAACCACAGACGCCAACCATTTCTGCCTACCAAGTTTTTTGCACTTTTGGCACCGCCGAGATGTCAAAAACGTTTTGCTGCCCAATATCAGAGAAATCTCGGTTCTTGTTTTGTAGATCACTGAACACCAGGGTCCTCATCCTGTCGTCCACGGAGCATGAAGCTAGCTAGCTGCTAGCTGCTACAATGCATTGTTGACTCAACACACAGGGCAGGGTACGGCAGAGTTAGCAGAGTCCAGGGAAGCCCTGAACTGTCACAGCTCTCCCTCTCTCTCTCCAGCTCTGATCCTAGCTCCGTCCGTCAATCTTCTGCCGTAGCACGGGCAAGCTTCAACCCCGCCTCTCGCAAGTTCCCTCCCGAGGTGAATCCCGCGCGCCGCGCAACTGCCAGGGGACCTGGCCAGGGCACCAACAGCCTCACATCTCATGCCCTTGCCCGAGACCTCTTGACCTCGGAAGGGTGACCGGCGTCGACGATGGGTGAAAGGGGAAATCTTGACCGCTATTGCTATTTCCATGGGAACCAATTTTTCTCCTCACCAAGACACACAAGGACAAGGGAAGATGAGGAGGCGAAAAAACCAAAAATTCGACATGGTGGAGAGGCATCACAGTAAGATCAGGCTACCCTAACCTGTACCTTGACCAGGTGTGGGACCCAAACAGAAGCCAATAGGTATTGCAATGCTTGCTTGCTACGAGAACGCTCTGTCTCTCTCTCTCTCTCTTTCTCTTGGGTACAACAGGCGGCATAAGCATGTTCCCGTGTCTCTCACATGCCTACCTTACAACAAGCTACAACATGGACAGTACAAGCTATACGTTGTGGATTGCGAGTTCGACAAAAAGACCTTTGCTCGTAGTCTTCTGCTTCATCACCATCAGGCCGTGAAGGAAAAAAAGCCCGATGACGCCGATGATATCCTCACTGCCCAGCCCAATACGGAATTCTTGAAAAGGCACCCGCACACGGGCAAATGGAATCCAATGCGGTGCACCCTGGCCGCTGACTTTAGTTCACAAAAAGCACTGTAACTGTGGCTACCCACCCACTAAAAAAGGTGGTCGCTCGGCGGGCGGCCTAGTACACAGCATACTAAGCGTCCACGTTGTGTACGTATATACAGCAGCAAGGCCCTGCAGGCAGCGTAGGAGACGGAAGACCCAAAGCCTGCATCGTGACGCATTTCATGGACCACGCACGCTGGGTAACTCAAACTTTTTTTTCCTCTTCTCTCTTCACGGCCTTTGACTGTTTACGACTTCTGATCTTCTCTTTTTGAAGCAGATATAGAGGCTGTGCAACGGAGAACAACGGCTGCGAGGAACAGGGAAGGCAAAACACACACCGACTCTTTGCTACTTCCTCCATTGCTCTTTCCAGTCCGTGGGATTGATGGGTTTCGGGATGATGGGTGTTAAATTGTTTCCTTCCTTTAATTTTGTACTGTACGCGGATAGGGTCGTTTTTGTGTGTGGTAAAGTAAATTCAGAAAAGAAAAAAAAGAGTCAAGAGCTAGCAAGCATCCCATCTCTTCGGTCCGGATATCGGCGAAGTCAAAAGAATAGACGAAAAAGAGAAAAACAGCAGCAAAACAGTTGGGATGAACATGTGGCTTCCGTCTCGGCCTCTTCCATCCCAGATTGTCTTGTCTCGTCTCATCGGCACCGACGACTCACGCTCGGACACATTCGAGAACTACCAACCTCACAATTCACGCCGACGGCGAAATGTCTCAATGCCTTGACTGACAACTCAACCGTTCCCAAGACACACAGCAACTGCAAGCCACACACAACCTTCTCAACAGTGTCTCGGAAAGGAACATTAACCACCAGATGTCTTTCTTTCTTCCTCAGCCAAACTTCCATGTCGTGCGAATCGGAATTGACCTATCAGGCTCCAGAAGCCTTGATGAAAGAGTAGTGACGAGGTGTGTAACACAGGATATAAAACCATGCGCATTGTTGTTGCCAGCAACGGGCAGATGCGGGTTAGAGAACAAGGACATGGATATGGATGGAAGCTGTAGGTAGGTAAATATCCGTGCTACTCAGATTCTTTTTTCGAATTGGGTTATGCTGGGTTGGACCTTGTCTGCTTGCTTGCGATTCAACAGTCAATCTTCGAAGACGCAATCCTTTCAAAGGGGTAGAGGTGTCGTGGGTGTGGTGTTTCGTGAAACGAAAGACCCAAACTGACCACTTGGACGCTGGCATTTGGTTTCTAGCATCTGCTGAGTGTGTGTCCTATAGAGTGCAGATTGAGCGCAGACGCAGAGACGGCAACGGGCAGGTTGCAGCATGCAGTACTGCGGCGTTGCCATGCCGTGACAATCTGATAATGAAAAAAGAGATATTCTAGAGCTTCCATATGCTGAGACCAATCAGTCCATAGAAGGAGTCTTTGTCTTGGGGTCATCAATTACCCCACGTTGTGATTAATTTTTCGCGCTTTTTCTTATCATCGTTAACTTTCTTTGGGATATGAGACAAAATCGCAATCCATCATCCATCAAACTCTTCTAAAAAGGAAAGGAAAACATTTTAAACCATTGGTGTGAGAAAAACGGGTATGTATATATGTTTCCATCCACGGCACACAGTGGAAGAAAAGAATCTCTCAAAAGAATTTAGTGATTTGCTTGCTTGTAGTATGCAATAATGCTCTCGTATCTATAGGAGATAAAGAGAACTACATATTATTAAATCTGCAAATAACGATATTATATGTTCTCAAGCTCTTGATTATTATTCTTTAATTATTGTTAATTGAAGAAAACTGGATTTTACGTACTAAAATTGCTGATGGGAGGTAAAAATCGTTAGAAAATAACGTATAGGTATTAATTAATTAATTTCTATAGCGTTTTAAATGTAAAATTGTTCTCAAAGTACGAATTTAGGGTTTATTTCTTTTTTTTCGTTCCTAGATTTCAATTAATCCTAGAATAATAGCTTCTGTCATCTTCTAAGCATCGCCAAATACACTAAA